ATCGAGTGCTTTCCCGTGGTGTGTGCATCGACCCGTGCCATGGAAGACCATGCTTCCTTTTGTGCGTTAGCCTAGTTGTCCGTCAAATGTTTCGGGCTCCTCGGCTTACTGTTGGTAGGCCAAGAATGGCGAGCGAAGAGCAGCACAAACTTGTAGCATTCGGTTTCTCGTCGGCAAACTGCCCATTCATGTACCCCTGGGATCGGTTGGATGAAGTTCTGCCGCCGGTTTGTGTACTCGCACGCCTTGATTTCCTTGGCAATGGACCACCCCTCTCCCTCCCTCTCTCGTTGCTGTTGTTTTTTCGTGGCTTGTTCAGAAACATGTTGCCAATGGTGTGGGCTATGGCGAGCAACATGCCCTTCGTCAAGGAAATCATGGGCAGGTAAGCTTGGTCCCACCAACCTCTATTTTTTTCGTCTTGACTGCTGTAGTTGTGATTGGTCCTTGGCTGTGCATACATGCGAAGTCGAAAACATCATTTGGGGGAAGATTTATTGAGGGAATTGTGGTTTTGCTTGCACACCCAAATCGGTCAGTTGTTGATGTTTCCTCTCAAGAGACTCCCGCAGCAGGCACAACCAGAGCAAGATCGTACACTTGCTTCCCCAGCTGCAATGACTGAGGATTGTTCCCTGTGTGTCCGTCCCCCTCCCACCCGTTTCCTTTTCCAAACGAACCAACGAACGTACAAACGCGTTAATCAGCGGGTCCTCGAAGGGGAAGAAAGGACGGAGCGGCAACAGCAGCAGACAGAAGCGATCTTCCCGCGCGGCGCCTTCGCGCGACGACTACGACTACGACCGAATGGGCAGTGGCTACGGCTACGATGACGACGACTGGGACAATGGAGGCGGCGGCGGCGGCCGGTGGGGGGGCTACGACGAGCAATAAGCCTTTTTTTGATCCCCTGATGTTGTCATGGACGCTTTCCTCCTGCCTTCCCACCAACGTCGATTGTGGGGCTATTTGGCTTGGCTTTTCTGTGTGAGGGGGAGCGGGCGGGGGGGCGGGTATGAAGATGAAGACTAGTTCAGGCGCCGACCATTCGGTCTTGATGTTTGGGCAGCGATGGCGCATGGTTTTCGTGGGGGGGGGGGGGGGGGGG